TTTAGGACTTACATATATACTACGACTAATAGGGATGTGGTAGCTCAGTGGCTAAGATACTGAGCTTGTCGATCAGAAAGGTTGGAAGTTCAGCAGTTTGAATCCTTAGCGCCACATAACGGAGTGAGCTCCCATTACTTGTCCCAGCTTCTGCCAACCTAGCAACTTGAAAGCATGTAAAAATGCAAGTAGAAAAAAAAACAGGAACCACCTTTGGTGGAAAGGTAACAGCGTTCCATGCATCTTCGGCATTTAGTCATGCCGGCCATATGACCACGGAGATGTCTTCGGACAGCGCTGACTCTTCGGCTTTGAAACTGAGATGAGCACTGCCCATTAGAGTCAGGAACAACTAACACATATGTGCAAGGGGAACCTTTACCTGTCATGTGCTAAGACTACAACACACATCAATCTCAACTAACAAACCTAGGAAGGATATAGGTTCCAACTTACATGAGGTCAGTAGGTTGGGAAAACTCTGCATATATAGTCAGATGCTTTATGTATGTCAGTTCTTTAATTATTATATTTGTTTAAGTGCCCAAAACAAAACTACATGGTTCATTTCTGTAATATCCAATCAGCCTAGGTTTCCTTTATTCATCTCCAGCCGAAAGGGCATTGAACTGGGCATCCAAACCAGAATGTTATACTTTGGGCCCATTTATTGCCATGCATGTGTATAGCATGCCCCACCACTTGTTTAATATTGAACATGCAAGGTACCTTCTATATCCTGAATCTGATCTTTCAATGAGTTCTTTACCACTCACCTTTGTATTGCATTTTCATGTTACACAGACTGCTGCAGTTCCAATGTTCTTAGGTTTTCCATTTTATAAACCCTGGTTATTGCTGGTATTCTACAAGTATGGTGTTGAAGACACTGCTCTACCTTTCACGTTTCCCATGTACTGTGTTAGCTGCCTATATTTCTGATGCAGTCCCGCAAAGGGCCTCTAGATGTCACTGTCCACCCAACACTAGATGTTTAAAAATCTACGGTATCTGGCTTCAGTTAAGGGCCTCAAGCTAATAAGTGGCTTGCTAAAAGAAGACGTCTGAAATGCTAATGAAAAAAGGGCAGCATGTAGGAAATAAACTAAGTTTCATGTTGAACTTCACTCACTTTATGACTGCCCTGGAGAACATGGGTTGTGCTTTCTGTGGAAGCAGTTCAGTTTTCTTTCTAGTTTTATATTATAGTACAGGGAAGTCATAGGAAAGGCAAACCAGTACATATACATACACGATACATTCCTGTCACCTTTAATCATCACGCTGAAAGAAATGATTTGGCTGGAGTGCCATAGAGCAAGGAGAGAAGGAAAAAATAAACTGTATTTCATAAAACATCTTTTCCTAGACAGCTGTAACATGCAAAGGATTCCGCTCTCTTTCTGTAGCTGGCTGACTCTTCCATCTAAGCAATAATATGTGATTATTTTCTGATTTCAGCTAGGGGTCTCTCTATTTCATCTAAAATATTTTTATAAATATATGCCATAAATAATTTTTTCAGTGTATGTGTGTGCGTGCATACATATGCATACATACATACATACATACATACATACATACATACATACTGTACATACTACGGATTCAGGCTTTATTTCTCCTTTTCATCTAATACAGGCAAAGCAGTTAATCTTCTAGTGTAGAGGTCTCCAAACCTGGCAACTTTAAGACTTGTGGACTTCAAGTCCCAGAATTCCTTAGCCAGCCACTTGGCCTGAGAATTCTGTGAGTTGAAGTCTACAAGTCTTAAAGTTGCCACGTTTGGAGTCCCTTGTTTTAGAGGGATAATAGATGGGAAGAAGGCTAAATCGAGGCTCAATCCAGACAAGGCAGAGATATGTGTGGCTCATCTGTCCAACTCAGTAGTATCCATTCTGTTGTGGAAGGGGGTACAAACAGGATGCTAACCCAAATTTAGAACCAGAAAATTAAGAGGCGTTGCTGAATGCATAAGGTGACCATACCTGGACAAACGTAGCTCTATAACCATTATTCATGCTCTGGTAAAGAAATTAAGAACTCATCTTGGGAAAAATCTGAGTGCTATTTGGAGTTGGAGAGGGCACGGAGAGAGGGAGATGTAAGATGTTAACATACGCTTGAACAAATCCAGAGGTAGAAGGAAGCCTGAGAGACAAACTAATCCCATTCTGATTTCTTGTTGTTCTTAGTACAAGATGGAATATATAGAAACATGAAAAGTCCCCCCTCCTCTCCCCAGATTGATGTCTGCACTTAGTAGACCAGATCACAGGGATTCCAGAAATGCTGCCTTGTTGTTGTGGAATATGAGAGAATCTTGAAAGCTGCTCAATTTTTTCTCTGTCACATTTTATAGTAAACAAAATCAAGGCATTTTTAGAGTTTGTCTGCTTTGTCCAGTCCCTCCTTAACAGCTCAATCCCTACTGCACCACCCCTGATTCTCACTCCATCCCCAAGGTCAACCCTATGTTCCTTTATTGATAATCTCGCAGCTGGATTACTGTAATGAATTAGACAGGTAGCTCCTTTGGAAAATGATTTAAAAAGTTTAGCAGTTCACAATAGACAGATAGACCATTGGGTTTCATCAATCCAATAGTATTAGGCTAATTCTTTGGCATCTGCATGGACCAGTTCTAGACCCAATTTAAAATATATGTTTAGTCTATGATATACAAATAACCTGGGCACAGATCACTCAAAGGAACATCTCCTCAGATATTATCCTACTTTTGACTCTGAAATGTTCAGCAGTGGCAATCAATCATTTATTATCGAATGGTTACCCAAAAAAAAGGAGGGTTTTTTGGTGATGACACCACTAGGAACCTTAGAAGCAGGGGTGAAATTCAGCAGGTTCTGGAGAACCGGTAGAGGAAATTTTGAGTAGTTTGGAGAACTGGCAAATACCACCTCTGGCTGGCCCCAGCCTGGGGTAGGAATGGAGATTTTGCAATATCTTTTCCCCAGGAGTGGGGTGGGAATGGAGATTTTGCAGTGTCCTCCCCCTGTCACGCCCACCAAGCCACGCCCACAGAATTGGTAGTAAAAAAAAATGAATTTCACCACTGCTTAGAAGTAAATGATTGCTGTTACTAATGATGATTTCATATTGAAAGTGCTGTTTGTATTATTTAAATAATTTCCTGCTATGATTTATATAGTTTTTATATTTTAACTGAACTAAAAGAGAACTTCTAACATTTTACAATAAAGCAAATAGAATAAAAATAATATTGAGAAAGATTAGTGAATTGAAATTCTTTATTTATGTATGCCACAGGCACTCTTTTACTTATACAAATGACCACATTGGCCTCACTTTTAAACCAACACTACTCAAAATAATTCTGCCCTTCATTTTGATCTCAGTTCAGGAAAAAGCAGCCTCACTTCTTGGCTGCTTTCCATTTCCTTTTCCTTTTTGTTAGGATTCCACAAATTTGAAAATGAGAATACATTGACTTTGGAATAATGGAACTAGAAGAATGACTGTGGGAAACCATAAAAGATATACCTCAAAGTTGGTTCAGTGCAAATCACTATTCCAGAGAAAATCTTTTTACAAAAATATTTTAGTATTTCTAGGAACAAATTTGTTTTCAACACTTATTAATAGGAGAATGAAATCTCATTTTTTTTAAATTACAGAAGCAGCTATTTCTCATGGAAAGGTGCTACTCTTCAGCCAGAGAGATCCATAGGTGCTACGTATATTTATAGAAAGTGTTAGAGCAGCAAAGTGCTAATGCAGTTGCAGAAAACAAAAGAGAAAGGAAAAGCACATTTATATTATTCTGCTCCCGAGTTTCAATATGGCCATGAGTCTCTAGATCAGTGGTAGTCAACCTGGTCCCTATTGCCCACTAGTGGGCGTTCCAGCTTCCATGGTGGGTGGTAGGGATTTGCTGTAACTCTGCTTTATAAATTTTATAAAGTAAAGTTACCTCCCTACTTTATAAATCTCCATTACTGTGGAACCAGTGGGCAGTTAAATTTTTTTACTACTAAAAGAGATACAAAAGTGGACGGTAGGTATAAAAAGGTTGGCTACCCCTGCTCTAGATGGAAAGAGCTGCAAGATGAAAAGAGCTGTTGAAAGTCAGGCATGACAATACTTCATCCTATCAAATATCTTCCATGCTTTACCTGTGTTAGAGACTCTATGATATAAAAGACCCCAAGAATTTAGCCAGGTTGTTTCAGCAAGTCACCCCTGCTTCAGAAAACTTGAGGGAGAATTTTCTGGTCATCTAAGACCCTCATCTAGGTGAGCATTGATTCCCTGAGTGAACAGCAGGACCTGAGGAGAACATATCCCAATGCTTTGGGTGAAGCATTGTTAAGCAAGTGGCAAATCCTACCTAAAATGTCATTTACTGATGAGGAGATTTCTGACTTTACATGATGCATGATATGAATCTATGTAGCTACCTTGCGTTGTACTGTTAGGCAGCAATGTTCAAAGGGCTCACTCTTGTTGGATAACAGACTTTTAGACTGGCATGCTGGTGATTAAATATGGGACCTCTGGTATGTAAAGCATGTGCTCTATGCCTGAGCTACATTTTCTTCCCAAACTTCTCCCATGAAGATCAAGTAGTTATGTGCTCATGCACTTAGGTGTTCATGTCCACACATTGCAGTAAGGATTTTAAAATTACAGTTTGTTGACTAGAATGATAGGCTGTAAGGTGTGAAAGGCCCTTTGGGCATCATCTAGTGCAACTCCTTATCCAGTGCTATTTCTATAGAAAAGACTAAATTACAGTAGCCCAGTTTATATACAATATCAATACAGTGAATTAATTTGTACATGATGCTAAACCAATAACAAAAATTCCACTTTGGAACTTACCATGTGTGAACCCTACCAAGATACTAATGTTATGTGAAATATTATCTAGGAGGTTATTATTATATTATCTATAATCAGAGCCAGAAACTTAAAAATATGTGGTCAGCATGCAAAGGGATTAATGCTGAGTTCTTTTTTTTTTTCATTAGAGAAAGCAAATCATCTATAAACACTAGGAACTCTTTCCTTCTAAAAATTAAAAGCAAGGAATTTATTATATCATAGTCTTGGGATAAGTGTAACAAAAAGAATAGTCTTAACAATATTGGAACTCTGATGTAATATGTAAAACATTGGATTTGAAAATGTATTTTTCTCTAAGCCTCCAGTAGAACATGCCTTATTACTGAATTCATTTGGAAGTTCAGGTTTGCAATTGCATTGACAGAAAAATAGAACTGGACAGGTTTCTAAGCCTCACAAGGAACTCCCTTTCCTGTACTCCAGGGGTGTCAAAATTTGGCACTGTGGGCCGGTCGCTTGCCCCCTGCTGCCTTTTTTGGCTGGCAGAGTGCTGCAGGAGGCATCTGTCCTATCTTCCCCCTCCCCTTGCCGGTCCATGGAAGAGAACTACAATGCTGATCCGGCCCTCGAAGAAATCCAGTTTGACACCCCTGCTGTACTCCCTTCCCCTAAACTGTTTATTAGGAGCAGGGATTTTTGAAGGAAATCCTGCTTCCTTGCATGTTCTGTGTTAGACAGCAGTGTGCAAAATGTAATGAAGGATTTTCAGCACACTGCTCCCTTGGCCAACCCAACCCGTGTCTTGTATGTTTGGAAAGGTAAAGGAAAGGGGCAGTAGCAACAGCACAAGCAACCAGCTGAACCCCTGGAAACTTTGCTTGGATGAAAGACTTTGGGTTCAACTTGCAATGGACTTAGATATCATGACGCTCCTCTACCCCAAATTTCACTAGTCCATGTGTAAGTTAGATTATAAAGCTCAATAATCATGACCCCTGATTTTGTTCAGATAGAATCTTATCTTAACCCTGGATTTATGCAGTGCTGCTCATACTGAAGAGCAAGTCCTGCTTTCTTCTTCAGTATATGAGTCCAGGCTGTAACCTTGGGCAAGCTGAGGTAAAAAAAAAGAGAGTCTTTGAAGAATCACAGTGCAGATACTTTCTTGTGACAGCAGAACAGTGAAGGCTCTTGAGCAATGGCTGTTTTTGTTTGTTTGTTTAAAAAAAAACTCTCTCACACCCATAACAGAGGCAGTTCTGTAAACATGAGTGGAGAAGACCTTGGAAGACTATAATCTCATGAATTCCCACGGTATGTAATGTTGGTAAAGGTGGAGGTAGCTCCTTTGTACAGGGGATTGTTGGCCTAAAAGACAAAACAGATACAAGTTGGAAAATATATACTTGGCAACTGATTTAACAGTTGCAAAGTCATCCTAGTAACTTAAAATAGGATTCTTTAACACGGTGAGGCGATTCCTGGTGCTCTCAAAAGCCATAACTCCAGAATTATTTAAGAGGTTGCAACAGGCATATAGGCCTATGGTGAAATTGTATATCTCCTAGAAAGATGTAAAAGAAAAGTTATTGCTCCATCGTGTGTGTGTGTGTGTGTGTGTGTGTATGTGTGTTTTCATAATCACTTCTGTGCAACCATTAACCAATAAAGCAAAGGAAAGGACAGGAAATGCTGATGCAATGATATTCAGGCAACAGTTTTTCCCCCCCAACAACATACTATTGAGAGAATGCTAACAACACACCCTTAAGGTACAATAAAACTGATATATATTGCAGTATGGATGATTCAGAATGAGCCATAGGCTGCTATGTCAGGGAAATAAAACAATAAGTCATTGCAACCTCCCCTCCTCTTAGGATGAAGCAAAATAGTTACTTTTTGTCCCCTTACACTCTTCTGGTATTTCTTACCGTGTCCCATCTAGCCCTGGCACGCTCTTCTTCGAATTTGGCAAATTCTCGCCTGTCGTGGATGGTAATAAGCAGTTTCCAGATGAGCAAAGCAGCCAAGCCAATAAGTAAGATGGCTCCAGTTACAGAAAGGAGAACTACTAAGACATCAGGTCCCTTGGGACAATCTGTAGAAAACATTTGTATCATAAAACAGAATTGCAAGCCATGAATTACCCCTCTGATTGTTAAATTCTTAACCTGACTTCACCTAAAGGCATAAATCCATGCATTTGATCAAGCTGTTATGCCAAAGGAAATCCTGACTAAGGAGCAGCTATCAAATATTACTCTTGAACTTTATGAGCATATAACTCAGAGGTCTTCAAACTTGACTACTTTAAGACTTGTGGACTTCAACTCCAGAGCTCTGCTGGCTGGAGAATTCTGGGAGTTGAAGTCCACAAGTCTTAAAGTTTCCAAGTTTGGGGACCCATGAGAAACTACCAGAAGACTTATTCTGCAAGCATCTTTTGGAGCGCATGTTCTCTAATTCTGCGCCATGAAAGCCTGAACACATAATTGTTAAAGAGGGAAAGACGGATGTTCTGTAGCAAAAATGAACCATTGATAAAAACTCTTTTATGCTCGGCTTCCATGTCAGACCTTCCTTCATGCTAAGTGGTGGCTAATAGGCATAAATAACTCATCAGTGGCTTTCAAATGACTGCACAATTATTCAGGAATTAGTCTAATGTATGATTTAAATATTTCAGTTCTTTTTTTACAAAATGTTATTCTAGAGCCATCTGCTCTTCAGCCTAAAGGGACCATTATAGTTTGACAAAAAGAAAGCATATCTTTGATCTGATCCTCTAAACATAGTTGGAGAAAATATCCAATTTTGATATTAGCAAACTCTTTCTGACAGCAAAGTCAATACAACAATAGGGGGAAAAAATGTCCAAGAGCAGCACATACTTCCTGCGAGAATTTAAAGCGGAATTAGGGAAAGCAATTACTTTTAATGACCCAGGAAGGTTACAGCTTACATCCTATCAAACAAGTTTTGAGAAATCAATTTCTTCCATCATTTCATTTCCAGAAATTTTTCTAGTTTCTGAAATACCTCCAACCCTCCTGACTACATTATTCTTTTTAATATTGACTCAAGGGGAAGAGAGGGTTTAAAGGCCCCAGGCTGTGATAGGATGTGTGGCAGCTTTTGTGGTTTCCCCATGTGGTATTAGCTGGATTCAAATTGCTGTCCGAGGAGTTCTGGCTAAGCTCCTTCAAAATCTGCCCGAGACTCCATCGTTGTCAATCTTCTAAGTGCAGTGTGAGTCATCGGCCAAGCTAATACCCTGTGGTGAGGGTATATCATTTATTGCATGCTTTTGGCAACTAATGAGAGCTTTATCACCCTCTTTGGGTTTAGAACACACTCTTTGAAGGTTTCTAGTGTTCCCTTCATGCTCACAAGCACGCAGAAAGAGATATTGTCTTATTAGAGTTTATGGCAGAGTCAGTGTCTGTGGTCCTGTTTGCTCATCTCGCAGCAAGCAGAGACAGGGTTCGCATTTAGTCACTTAAGTCAAATATCAAAGCAGAGAAATCCAGCAGCTGGCTTAAAAAAATATTTCCATCTATGAATGACGGATGATGTTTTTTAGTTCTGAACTAAAAGTTGCCAGATTGAATCACTGGTCTTTAGTCAGAATTATATTCATGTTGAACTAAAATAATGTTGCAATAAGAAATACAGAATCCTGCCATCATTATGAATTATTGAAATCAGACATATGCGTAGGTGAATTTTGTTTAAAGCATCTGATAATTCCAATTTTTTTTTCCAATATGAGTTCAGGTTGGGGAATGAGTTTGCCTTACTGTCTTTGATCTACCTTGCTGTTCTAGGCTAGGGGGAAATAGAATCTTCCAGAAAATTTCTAGCAATGATTGATTGGGCACAATTTATGATGATTAGATCTGTCTCCTCCTAATCCTTTTGTTCTGTATATGTTAATCCATGAACCATTCCTGTTGAATACTAGCGCGGGAAATACAAGCGCGCGAACAAGGACTCTTCCTGATTGGCTCCCGGGCAGAGCCGGCTCAATCCTCGCCCTGATTGGTCGAGCTACAAAGGGCTCTTCCTGATTGGCTCCCGGGCAGAGCCGGCTCAATC